GCTAGTAAGAACCAACAGCACAGTGACAGCAGCATATGTCAACAGGCAAGGAAGCCTGGGCTACCCAAACCTCAACGCCTGCTGTATGCTTCTCCCCTGTTCACTCTCCTTCCGTATCTGCTGCAGAGAGTTTGGAATGAGGAGGTGTAGCTGATCCTGGTGGCCCCGAACTGGCCACCCAGCCAGGGTGATGTTGTATACTACTCTTAGTGACCTGGAAGTCTTTCTGCACCCAATCCCTGCATCTGGCGGGGTTGGTCGTGCTTATGGTTGCGTCTGGCACCTGGGCATCCGTTGAATGTGCAACATGTTGTACAAAGTTCAAGCAATCAATCAATCAATCAATCAATCAATTTTATTTATAAAGCCCAATATCACAAATCACAATGTGCCTCACAGAGCTTTACAGCATACAACATCCCTCTGTCCTTTGTACCCTCACAGCGGATAAGGAAAAACTCCCCCCCCCCAAAAAAACCCTTTAACGGGGTGAACCAAAGTTCATTGTTTTTTTCCGTATATACACACCTATTGGGTATTTTCTGTTGTTAATGCACCTGGTGGCGGGGACATCTCATTCGAATACCAGGGGAGGGCTTGTGTACCTGCATCTGCTCTGTCTCCTTGCGGTGTGCCTTAAAGGGTTTCCATAGTTATGATATAACAGCTGGGTGGGGAGATAATCTCAATACGATAGAGAACGTTTGGTTACTTTGTAACCTTGGTTCTCTGAATGAGGAGGTTATCTCCCCAGGCTCAAGGCCGCTCAGTACTCAGAGAACCAAGGTTACAAAGAAACCAAGCGTTATCTTTGCAGAGAGATAGAGGGGTCTCAGCGTCCCAGATATGTGTCTGTATTATCTTCCATTTAATGCCAGATATTCCTAACTTTGGGGGTATAAAAAGGATTGAAACAAAGATAGTTAGTCTTACAAAGCAACCCTGCCCTCAAACAGATCTGTGCTGAACCCCCTCTTGTCTCTTTCAGAAGAGTGCGCTCATTAAGAGACAGACTGGTCCATACGGTCTTGAGTGTCCCCTCTCCCAGGACTACGTGGTTGCCCTCCCCACCTCTAGGTTTTTATAGATGTGGTCACTGTACCCACTGTTCAAACTCAACTGACTCTAAATATTTCTGTCATCTGCATATGGGGAAAAAGTACACAATTAATTCATTTATCAACTGCAGCACTACCCATGTTATTTACATTCTGAAATGTCCATGCCGGAAGGTTTATGTGGGATAGACCAAACGCCCTCTCAAAGCCAGGATAGCTAAACATAAGGCTGCTCTTCGCAATCATAACATGGATTATGCGATAGCACGCCATTATGTTAAAGCCAATCTGGAAATCCATCGGTAATAAAAAACAAAAAAAAAAACAAAA